TAAACAGGAGAGGTGAATTAGTCACAAACAGTACTGAAAAAGCAGAGGTTCTCAACACTTTCTTTGCCTCTGTCTTTACCAGCACTGTTGGACTGAGATCTTGGAACAAAAATCCAGTTCGACACCAACACACCCCACTGTCAGTGAAGGAAGGGGTGATATGCAAACTATCACAGAAGCTTGACTACTACAAATTGATGGGCCCTGATGTTATCCACCCAGTAACGAGGGTGTTCAGAGACCTGGCTTCTATTGTTGCAAAGCTGCTCTCTATAATCTTTGAGAAGTCACGGAGATTGGGGGACATGCCAGAAGACTGGAAAAAGGCTAATGTCACCCCTGTCTACAAGAAGGGCTTACAGGAGGATCCAGGCATTGGTTTTACTTCAATCCCTGGGAAAGTTATGGAATTAATCCTCCTGGGGGCTGTCACAAATCAAATGAAGCACATGATTGGGAAAGACCCGCACAGATTCACCAAGAGCAAGTCATGCTTGATGAACCTGATTGCCTTCTATGACTAGGTGACCTGGTCAGCTGATGTGGGGTGAGCAGTGGATATTGTCTACCTGGATTTCTCCAAGGCTTGTGATATGGTTCCACACAGCCTCCTCCTGGAGAAACTGGTAGGTTACAATCTAGACAGGTGGTCTGTGCAGTGGGGGAGGAACAGGCTGACAGGCTGCACCCAGAGGATGGTGATAAATAGCTCTTTTTCAAACTGGCAACCTGGCACAAGTGGATTGATATTGGACCCAATGTTGTTTAATATGTTCATAAGTGATCTGGATGATGGGGTCAATGTACACTGATGAATTTTGCTGGTGATACTGAACTGAGGGGGGAAGTGGACACTTCAGGAGAACCACCCTGCAGGAAGACCCGGATAGGCTGGAAGAGTGGGCTAGCAAGTACCTTACAATGTTCAACAAGGACAAGCGTAAGGTCTTGCACCTGAGAAAACAATGCAGGAGTGCAGCACAGACTGTGGTCTGCCTGGCTGGGGAGCAGCTCTGTGGAAAGGGACCTGGGGATCCTGGTGGACAACAAACTCAGTATGAGTCAACAGCATGGTGCTGTGGCAAAGAAAGCCAACAGGATGATGGGTTGAATCAACACAGGCATCACCAGCAGAGAGAAAGAAGTAATTATTCCTCTCTACTAGGTGCTTGTCAGGGCACACCTGGAATACTGTGTTCACTTTTGGTCCCAGCTATGCAAAAAAATATGTGGACAGGCTGAAGAGGGTACAGAGGAGGGCCACAAAGATGATCAAAGGACTGGGAAGCCTGCCATGTGAGGAAAGGCTGAGAGAACTGGGCTTTTTCAGCCTTGAGAAGAGATGGCTTAGGGGAGACCTTATCACCATGTTCCAGTGTTTAAAGGGTGGCTCCAAAGAAGATGGAGACTCCCTTTTTACAAGGATTGACATGGAAAAGATGAGGGGTAATGGGTACAAGTTACTCCTGGGGAGATTCCATTTGGACACAAGAGGAAAATTTTTCACTATGAGAACAACCAGCCACTGCTCCGCAGAGAAGTGGTGAATTCCCCAAGTTTGGACAGTTTTAAGATACAGCTGGACAGCTAGGCTGTCTTGTCTAGATTGTGCTTTTGCCAAGAGAGATTGGACCAGATGATCCTGGAGGTTCCTTCCAACCTGGTAGTCTATGATTCTATGATTCAGAACATGGATAAAGAGATTAAACAGAACTGGCCCCAGTACTGAGCCCTGGGGAACACCACTTGTGACTGGCCACCAACTGGGTTTGACTCCATTCACCACAATTCTTTGGGCCCAGCCATTCAGATAGTTTTTTACCCAGTGAAGAGTACACCTGTCCAAGCCATGAGCGGCCCATTTCTCCAGGGGAATGCTGTAGAAAATAGTGTCAAAGGCTTTACTGAAGTCTAGGTAGACAACAGCCACAGCCTTTCCTCACCCAGTAAGTGGATCACCTTGTCATAAAAGGAGATCGGTTAGTCAAGCAGGACCTGCCTTTCATAAACTCATGCTGACTGGGCCTGGCCACCTGGTTGTCCTGTATGTGCCACATGATGGCACTGAAGATGTTCTGCTCCATAACCTTCCCCAGCACTCTGGTCAGGCTGACAGGCCTGTAGTTCCCCAGATCCTCCTTCTGGCCCTTCTTGTCACATTTCTGTCACATTTGCTAACCTCCAGTAAACTGGGACCTCCCCTGTTAGCCAAGAGCGCTGATAAATGATGGAAAGTGGCTTGGTAAGCACTTCTCTGTACCCTTGGCTGGACCTCATCTGGCTCTATAGACTTGTGTGTGTCTAAATTGTGTATCAGGTCACTAGCCATTTCCCCTTGGATCATGGGGGCTTCATTCTGCTCCACATCCCTGTCTTCCAGCTCAGGGGGCTGGGTACCCAGAGAGCAACTGGTCTTACTTTTAAAGACTGAGGCAAAGAAAGTATTATTAAGTACCTCAGCCTTTTTCTCAGTATTTATTTGTTTGCCCCTTCTTCCAAAGGTCATAAACTCTCCTTTTTTTCCCCAAGTTCCAGCCAAAGCTCTCGGTTCAGTCAGGCCGGTTTTCTTCCCCACCAGTTTGTCTTTTGGCACATGGGGATGTCCTGCTCCTGTGCCTTTAAGATTTCCTTCTTGAGAAATGTTCAGCCTTAGTGGACTGCTTTGCCCTTCGGGGCTGCCTCTCAAGGGACTCTGTCAACCAGGCTCCTAAACAGGCCCAAGTCTGCCCTCTGAAAGTACAAGGTAACAGTTCTGCTGACACCCCTCATTACTTCTCCAAGAATCAAAAACTTCCATTATGTGATTGCTGTGCCCAAGACAGCCTCCAGCCATCACATCACCCACAAATCCTTCTTTGTTCTTGAACAACAGGTCCAGAAGGGCCCCTTCCACAGTTGGCCCCCTCACCAGCTATGTCAGGACATTATCTTCCACACACTCCAGGAACCTCCTGGACTATTTCCTCTCTGCTGTATTCTATTTCCAGCAGACATCTGGTAAGTTCAAGTCCCCCACGAGAACAAGGGCTAGCAGTTGTGAGACTTCTCCCAGATAATTACAGAATGTTTCGTCTGCCTCTTCATCCTGGTTGGGCAGTCTATAACAGACTCCCACCATAATATCTGGCTGGTCAGCCTTCCCCCTGATTCTTAATAAACACTCAACCCTATCATCACCATCATGGAGCTCTAGACAGTCAAAACACTCTCACACATACAGGGCTACTTCACCACCTCTCCTTCCTTGCTTATCCCTCTAAAGAGTTTGTAGCCGTCCATTGCAGCACCTCAGTTGTGCGAGTCATCCCACTATGTTTCCATGATGGCAACTATATCAGTTTTCCTGCTTCACAAGAGCTTCTAGCTCCTCCTGTTTGTTGCCCGTGCTGTGTGCATTGGTGTAGATGCACTTCAGTTGGGCTATTGATCCCGCCACCTTTTTGGGGGGAGAGGCCCTAATTCCTACATGACTATTCACAAGCACTTCTGTGGTTTCTAACACATCAATAACTCTTCTGTCTTTGCTGCTGCATGGATCTCCATCCTCTGCTTCCACTGAGACAGCAGACTGAAAGACCTTGCTAGGACACTGTTCCTGAATTGTTGGCATGCTGCCCCCAGGCTTATCTCTAGTGAGCCTAGTTTTATCCCTTTCCCCCTTCAAATCTGGTTTAAAGCTCTTTCAGTGAGCCCTGATAACTCCTGTGCAAAGATTGACTGGTATGGAGCCAGCCCAACTTGATGCCAGTTCTCCTTGGCTCTCCTCGGTGCAGGAAGCATGTCAAGGCGAGGGATAGTGGATTCCAGCGGCTGAGGAGCACCGCACTTGGATCTGCCTTGACAGTGTAATGGCTCCTGAAAAACTGTTGTGAGTCAGCACTCATCAACAGCCCTCAGTTTGCTCTGGTTTCTGCCAGCAATGGGTTCAGCCCTGGGTTTGGTGAAAGCAATGCAATGGCTTAGAGTTGAGCTGGGCACAAGCAGAGAGGCTGAGGAGTGAAGGAGACACTGCAGTGTTTAATTATGGGTGGGTCTAAATAATTTCTGTTGTAATTCTTTGGTAGCTAATACCACAAATTAATGCTGTTTAAAATCAGAGGTGCCTGGAGAGGGAGATCAAAGGCTAATATAAGGAAATAATTTCTTGTGACTGATTTTGGGGAGGCAGTGCTCCTTTCAGTGTTCTTAAAGGCTATTTACAAATGGCAGAAATGGAAAAACCCCAATGGTAAAATTCCTGCTGCTTTTTGCATTTGGAACATCAATTTGAATTTGAAGAAATGGGACCAGCTCTAGTTCTTGACCTATACTTGCAGTGCTTAATTCTCTGTGGCAACTATGATGGATGCAAACGCACCAGAGCTGGCATTAAATCACAGCTAACTGTGTAGCTGCATCAGCACAGAGCTAACTGCTTGAATATTTACCCACCTTGTCAAGCAGGCTCTGCTGCATGTGCTGAGCTCTGTGCTTTCTTCTCTCTACTGCCAGCAAGCATCCAAGCCATTGAGCTTAAAGTCCCCATGTGCCTTGACCACATGAACTGTTTTTCCTGACATGATAGCAGCTGCACTTGCAGGTACAGACTCTTAATACCATCGTTTGACCCCAGTTCAAGATGACCCCCGGGGTATCAGCTGCTGAGGGAGCTGATTTTGACCTTCCCACTGCCCTGGACATGCATTCCTGCCCCTGTGCTGTAATACATTTTTGCTAGATTAGTTTCAGCCTGGATTAGTTCCCCTTGTTCAGCTCACCGCAGAGCTGAGCAAATGCTTGTGCCAGCACAAGGCAGAGCAAAGGCGGGGATGGAGGAGGACAAAACAATGTCTTTGCGAAGTAGGGCCAGGGAAAAGCAACTATGAATTTATGGCCTCTTGCTCTCACTTGCTCCTCCTTGTTTGATGAGGAGATACTGCTATTGTGTCTCTTTGTTTGCTTTTAATTTCCTTCCTTGGGCTGATTATAGAAGTGAAGGAACGGTGATAGGTATCATAGACCTAGTTATCTCTGGATGAGCCCGGCTGCTTTTACTCACTTTCCAGGGCTCCATATCATTCACTACTGAATGGTTTCCCCAGTGTGCCTGGCAAGTTTGGCATTTCCAGTAGTCCCCCTATGTACCTTCTGCCCATCAGTGCCATGTTCCCTGTTGTTGTCCCAGCTGAACCCCAGTGCTCATTCAGCCAGGGCCTGGTGCTGAGCTGCACAGGAGCCAAATAACATCTTGATGGTGATCGGGGAGTCTCTGAGCAGCCCTGCTTCGATTTATCTCTCAACAGTGCTATTGCCTTTAAATACATACACTGCCAGGTGCTCTTGCAGGAAGGCAGGCAGGCAGGCGGCTCAGCTGCACAGGTTCAGGTGATGGAGTGCTTTGTCCAGGGTCTCCCAGGAGAGCTCCTTGCCTGTTTCCTCCACTGCAGCACAAACTGAGGATGGGGTTTGTTTTTCTTAGCGTATCAGGTCTTCTGGCACAGCATGATATTCTGCATACTGTCAACTACTTTGGGCTGCTTGTCAAGGAGGGGTGTGATATAAGCTGAAATGCTGCTCTAATTTTTGCATTATTATTCCTGTTGCAAATGTCATTATTTAATTAGACAGTGCAGCACTTCCCAGAGCAAATATTTTGAAGGGAAGGCACGGGTGTTCCTGCATCTCGATGTCTTTACTACATCTGGGCTAGCTGAATGCAACATGCAATAGAAAAGCAGAATCAGTGGCTTGGATCCAACAAAAGAAATGGCTTCAGCAGCTTCAGCCTGGCTCCATATTTGGCCACGGTGTGTTGTTCCTCTTGCTGCAGCCATAGCCATAAAAGGGTAGCTGACCAGTTGGTTTCCAAGAAAAAGTGTGACCACCTTTCCTATAACATATAGACTAATCCCTGCAGGATCCTTATGAAAACAAGTTTAGAGTTTTTAAGTTCACTGAGTGAGTGAGTATTTGCAGCACTGCACAGATAGCTGCTTCTTTTCTGCTGTTTTTTTGGTAATGGGGCTTTTGGCAGTATTGAGGAAAAGAGATTTAGTTCCACGTTATCCTTAAAAAATAAGTCATACTTGACTCCTCCTTTTTTCCAGAGGAAAGTCCCAACCACTTATCAGGATTGCTGGGGTGTTGTAGAAAGGATTGTCAAATAAATCTCTACATTTTCCCTCTGTTGCTAGTTCATGCGCTAACTACTTTCATTTTTTTGTCTGGTGGCCCTTCATACCTATCAGCAACTTCCTTTTCCAGAGCCCCAAAACCGCCCAAGTCTTGCTCTGGTGTTGCACATAGAAAATCCCACAATGCTTTGCTATGTTGGCTCTGCAGGAAGGATTTATTTATTTTACCTTTTAAAAGGTGACTCTGAAGTCACTATTATTTAAATAATAGTCTCTGTAGCTGCTGCCTGTTGCTTTTTTTATTGCCGAAGTATTTTTCTTGTACTAAAATGGCCTGTGCTTGTTGGTAACAAGTATATGAAGTGCTCTGACATGTAAAGTTCCTCCTGGAGGAAGGACTAAGATGTTCATATTATACTGTATTAAAATTATTTTATTCTAAGTTTATTGCAGGGGGTAGACTGCACAGGGAGAGGTTATAGTAACCAGAGGGCTGTTGTTGCAAAGTTTTACACAAGTAATATGTAATATATTCGTAAATAAGATTTAATATTGATGCTCCTATTTGCCTATATCCCGCCATGCTCGCTCATGTTATGTGGGCTATTCACCTGGAGGACAGCTGGTTGCTTTCAGTGGAGCTGTTGCATTTGCTACCTTTGCCAAAACTGATTACTCAATAAGTCTTTGAAGACTTGGACCTGGTGTTCATCTGACCTGACTTGTAATGCTTCCCAGCAGAGCCCAGATGAAGAAGAGTCACCTTGGGCTGCATTGTTGGACCCCCCCTCATGTCACCACTGGGACAGAGGCAGAGATTCAGGTCTCTGATGGACTTCTATGAAATACCTCCAATAGGTTGTTAAAATTGAGTGGGTTGAATCTGTTCCTCATTTCCAAGTTTCCAAAAAATGAGTGTATGCAGCTGGTTTTTCAGAAATTTGCTTGCATAGATGAGGCAAGAATTTTCTAAGGCTTGCAAGATGTTACTTGTTCTTAGCCACCTATATAGAAACATCATAAATTTTTAGTTCTCTAACTCTGCCTTTTTCCTAAATAGTAAAGTAATATCCAGCTACACTTTCTGGAAGGATTATATGTATCTGATAGTTTTTTACTGAATCTCATCCTACTTTCATAGATGAGGAGTTTTTCTTTCAAAGGTGTCTCTGCTTGAGGATAAAGTCCTCATATGAAGAAATTTCCCAGGATGAGTGAAAATTATTTTTACAGACATAAAAAGATGGAATCCCACTAAACAGACCTTTTTTTTTTTTTTTTTTTTTTTTTTTTTTTTTTTTGCTATGTAACCAAACAATAAGTATAAGGAAACACTAAGGGGGTTCTGGAAGGTTGGTATGAGACCTCACCCCCTCTCACATATTTGTACCTTTGCAAATTTTCCAAAATATCTTTGTCCATTCTGGAACATAGTGCCTGAGTAAAGGTTATTTTTTTGTTTGCCTTTGGCTTTTTTTTTCTCCTGTGTTGTAACCCAATTAATTTAAGAGTCCGCTTAGGAACTTAATTTGATCCCTTATCTCTTCCCAGGTTAGTTGCCAACCTTTTAGAGAGTCCTGGAGGAATCCACCCGCTTCCATCCATGGTAGTCAGAGCAGCATGTCTCCTGCTTTGCAGGGTCATGTGTGCCCGGGCCCACAGCACTTAACACTTAAGCAGCTTGAAGGGGGGTCCTCCAACTTGCAAATGCTCAACAAAAGGAAAAGCAAAAGGCATTGCTTGGCAGGAGGGCGAGAGTAGGCAACAGCTGTTCTTCCCCTGCTCGACACAGCCAAAGCCTGGTGGGTGCTGTAAAACAACAGGGCACTACTGGTGGATTATGCTCCGCTGACTGGGGAAGGGAGAAGAGAGTCATTCAAAAGCTGATCAAGCAAGAGCGTTTGAAGTCACAGCAGGAGAGGGGAATGAAAACTGAGTGCAGGAAGAGCTACCCAGACACTCCAGCTACTGGAGTATACCCCACAGACAGACTGTGTTTTTTCAGGCTGAAATACTGAAGAGCTGTGTTGCGAGAGCCTGTGTTTTTCCTCCCCCGCTGCTCAACCCCTTATCAGCAGTGATGTGCATATTCGAGAACTACATTAGTCTGGAAAGCTGTGACTCTGGCATCTCCGGCACACCCGGACTTATGTGCCAGTGAAAACTTTTTACTTGAGTGTGTCGTAATTGGAGTGATTTCCGTAATACTCTTGGTAAACACAGGCTGGAGAAGGTCACGGAAAGGACAACGTCACAAGCTCTGGTTGAGACTTCACTTTTATTTCTGTATGTAAGGAAAGACTTCTCCCCTCCCTCCCCTCTGTGTCTTCAGCCCCTCCTCCCCTTCCCAGCATCGCCCTTTGCCAATGTCTAACACTCGTGGGGGATATAGACATTAATGTAATGACTTGATTTTGTTTGTCCTGGCAGCTAGTAAGGAATGCCACGCTTGATGGCACATATTTCAGAGGCATTTAATAATCTTCGGTGTCTCACATTTTCAAGCAGAGTAGCAATGAAATGCAATGACAGCCTTTGTCCAATGCAATGCCTGTGCTGCTGAACCCAGGAGAGTTTCCCAGCATCTGTGCCTGGGTGCGTGCCACAGCCATGTCCAAACTCCACGTTGGGGCATGACCAGAGCATGTACCGTCCTTTCCCATTCTCCAATGTGCCAAGGAGCCAGAGCAGGCAGGCTGGATGGGAGCCACAGATCACTCCAGCCGATCTCATGCATGTCCCCTGAGATTTGCTGAGACATGCCCTATGAGGCAACCTTGATGCAAACACTGCGGCACATAGGGAAGGTAACAGAGAGTGGATTTGTAACACTATACACAAGGGAATAGTTCTCAAGTATCAGCTTCACACTGGGGGTGCAGGGATAAAGATGAGAGGAGAAATAAGGGGATGATCCAGTGAATGGCTGTTTATATCCTAGCGACAGTGCAGGATCTGGGAGCAGTGTGCACAAGCCTGAGTGAGTAAGTAGTTTGGCTGTCAAATCAAGAGCTGGGTGAGATGTCAGCACACTGGTTTTAACTGATGAAGGTAGGAACTGAGCATTTGGAATGAGATAGGGCAAAATCCCACGGTTAAAAATGCTGTGCAACAGAGCAGCATAAATCATAATTGCTAGGAAAAGCCCCACAGGTAAAGGATGTGGGCACAGAAAAAATGCTGCAGCAGCTAAAAAACAGCATAGGGAACAATGACTTTGAAGATGTGGTTTCCACAAAGACTCAGTAAGCTATGCAGAATGAATGCTGGGCATGACCAGCCAGCTGAATCTCAGGTATGATTAGTGAGGAAGATGAGTGAGGATTTGGAGAGGGACATATGTACTGTGTTATACCTTATCTGCTGAGAGCATCTCTTAAATGAAACAGGTGGAAAAGACTTGTGATTTTTTTTTTTTTCAGGGGGAAGGTTTGAGAAAAAAATAAAAAATCCTGCCTGTAATGTGTTTTTTTTCTTGTGGGGTCTGAACTCTTCTTAGGTTTTATGGTACCAGTAATAAAATACCACTGTCACATAAAGCATTTTGAGTGCTAAGATCATTATTCTTTCTGAGAAGACGGTACTGAACATATAGGCTATGTTTCTGCCATCATTAGCCAGGCAATCTCTCAAAAGTGTATGCACCATTTCTATGAATGTCCATATTATAATTTTCTGGCACAAATAGTTCTGCATGCATAACCATATACAAATGTAGTATGATTAATTATTCAGACACCAGCACCAAGTGATGAGAGCTTAAAAAAATCCAAACTGAGCACAAGGTCCTTGCTCTACAGATTTTCTCCACAGGAAAGGGGAGGAGGGGAGAAAATGTGAAGGCCAGCTCTGATAATGTAGTCTATAAATTCAGTGTGGGGAAGGCTGCATGCTC